CGCGTTTCCACGATGCATTTCACTACTTGGCATAGCGGGGCAACGCCAGGGGGTGCAAGATGTGGGGAATGAGGTTAAGGTGTAAAGAGCATTAAGTATTTTCATCCAGTATGTAAAACACTCCAAATTCAAAGACCGGTAGAAGAGAGAAGGGTTATTCGAAACATGAGATACGGAAAGGGAAAAGTGAATCCAACATGAAGCAGGAAGATACAGAAACGAGAAGAAAAATAGTGAGGTTTGAAAGTGGATTCAAATGTGACGTGAAGAGACGTAAGTGCGCTTGGTCAGAGAAAAGATCCTGAGAACAACAAGGCGGTCCGGGAACCATGACCGCAAAAGCTCCGCATAAGCGCACATGGACCGTGTCATTCACTAAGAAGCATTGTTACGGGAAAGTTCCCTACGTAAGAGAGAGAGTTGGTTGCGTGTATCGTCCGGGGGTAATGCGGCGCGAGCGTCCGGAAAATCCACCAATTTCATGGACAGAAAGCGCTTCTTTCTGCACGTCGACCGGCAGAAGAGCATTACAAACGACGTCAACACCTTAACGTGAGATTGAGTCATTACCCACGTCACTCTTTTTTTACGTCTTCTCGTCCCAAGATATTTCAAATGAGTTATCTCTGTAAAGGTTATTTCAAATGAGATATCTCATGCAGATCTGCCTACTGTACACGTTGCCCCCCATGTTGAGCGACTTAATATATATCATCTTTTGCCTCTGTATCAAATACCGGCCTCTTCATCTCATTCGCTTTTCTCACGTTTCGGTCTTGGCATTGATTTGCCATGCAGGCAGATGATGACGCGTTTTTGGACCAGGAATATACATGTCACGCGTGATGTAAATGTATGCATCCTCCTATCCGCTCCTCTGAGCCCCCGTCATCTTCCCCACAAAAATCTCATTCCAAACATACCGCTAAAGGTCTGTAAAGTTTCTCTCTCCATCGCGGAAGAAACGCTTGGGCGATGCCCGGTATCTGGTTTTTAAATTTCGTTTCCTCCGTCGCGTCGCCTCTCACGGCCTCGGCCATGCTCACCAGGTGGACGCGGCTTTTAAAGATGCCAAGGGAAGAAATCACTGAAGGCGTCAAGTGGGGGAATGGAGGAAAAGAGGGGGCGAGGCGTGGTCTAAGCTTTAAAAACGTGAGGGACAAGGCCGGCCAGCTCCCCTAAGGAAAGCTCGTCGCAACAGTCCGCCGATAGGCAGGAAGAGATAAGCCGTTGGAAGTTCTAGAAAGCGACCAGCCGTCATCGCATGACGTGCATATCTCCTTTCCTCCATGATCCCACAATCGTATTCCGTGGACTCCCACTCTTACCTTTGTTATTGAATTTTTTCTGCTCTTTTTGAGACAAATACGCGGCAACCACCGGCACGAGCATGCTGTCCTGCGTGTCGATCATATCTTTCACCTTGACCTCCATCTTCCCCGCGAGGCTCAGGGCCTCGTCCAGGCGGGCCAGGCGTGAGGAGGAAGGGAGGGAGGAGGAGGAAGGGGGGGAAGGGGGGGCAGAGGGAGGGGAAGACGGGTCACGGAACTTGCCCACAACCTGGCCAAGGCGTTGGCCCAACGTGGTGACCTGGAGGTTTGTGACGGGGGAGGAAAGGAAATATAGGAGGACAGGAAGGAGAAAAGGGCAGTCGAGTGAATGAGGTGGGGCGGCGAACCAAACTTGAAGGAGGATCACAGGAGATGCCGGTGCCCTTCCACCCAGCCGTGCGCCAGGCCCAGGGCGGAGACCACGGCACGCAAACGGTTCCGTGGGAACAAGGAAAAGGAGGCGAAGACGCCAATGGTGCGAAGAAAGATCGGCGAGGAACGAAAACCAGGACAGGACCCTCCCTCCCACCTCCTCTCCTTGGCGCTCCAGATCTTGCAAGAGGGGCCGGAGGTCCGAGGGGAGGGTTTTGCGGAGGAAGGGGTAAAAAATCTGGTTCTCGATTTTCAGGAGGGCCACCCAGGAGAAGCTCCAAAAGAAGTCGTAGCAGGCGGGCAGGCGGCTGAGGGACAGAGGAAGGGGTGAGAGAGGTGTCAAGAGGGCAAGGAAGGAAGGTGAGTCAATAAAAGCAACCTTCAGCCTCGTTTATCCTGCAGTGCTGCTTTTTCTGCTGCTGCAAACCTTTCCCTTACGCCTTACCTGGATCCCTCCACGCCCCTGAGTACCTCCTGCCTCTCCCGCGTCGCTACCTCCTGGAAACGCCGTACGTCCCTCAAGACACTTCGTGAGTGCCATCGCCAGCCATTTATGAGAAAATCCCGGTCCGAAGGAGGCACGGGACCTACGTCTGCATGGAGGGGGCCGAGCACCGAGTGAGAGTCGTCGGAGGGGAGCAGGAATTGGGAGGAATGAAAGGAGGAGTCTCGACAACGTACTGCCACGATATCAACGGGATAGGTCCCGGTTATAGAATTAGCAAGAAGGCAAGAAGCAGCCACCAAGACGGAAAATATTTTTATCCATACAGAAAAATCTGATCTGGTCACATCACCGCCCCTCCAAACTTGCCGCGATGGTATCATTTCAAAGCTGTGTGTCAACTCTGACCTGCATTTTCATAACCTTTACTCACCCAACAAAGACTGAACAAGCGCTTGCTTTTGAAAGGCTTTTTGAGGAGAGGCTAGAGCGTCGCGCACACTGGACATCATGGGGCGCATCGAAAAAGTGCCAAGGGCGAAGGAGGCGGAGCGCAAGAGGAGAGATGCCGCAGTGAAGAAAAAAAGCGCAAAGGAGGGTACGGATGGACGACCATGGCGGCTTCTGCGCGTCCATTTCGTAGATACAGCCATGGTAGACCCTTCCGGCCGACGATGGCGGTGCTGGCCTGTGGATGCGGCAAGAAATTGTGTCAAAGTCTCAGGTGGGAATAAGCTCCAGCCGGCGTGCGTGGCAGGAGGTGAGAAAGCTTTGCGAACAGGGAATATCGAGATTCCCCCGCCTGCCTGACGTTTAAAGCCGAGACAGCATGTACAAACAAGTCGCGTCATGCCCCAAGGCTATGTCAAGCTTGTACGCCAGGTCGTCTCTGCGTCCACTTCAGTTTTTCGTGTTTTTTTTTCGTATCAGCACCATCTACAACAGGGCAGCGAAGCTGCTCTCTAAAACTGCCCCGCCTCGCCTTAAAGCAGAAACGGCAACTGCGTACACTTCCTGTGCAAGATGAGGTGACCTTTCGCTCAGTCGCACCCGATTCATACACCTAACCACGAACAGAAGGCAAAACTTGCGCGACGCATTATTTTCGTGCTTTGTACTTTCCCGGCCTCCGCGCGACGTAGCCACCTCCCCCTCCTCCCTTTTGGTTGAGCCAGTCTCACGCTGCTGCGATGAGCAAAGCATCCCGGCGAAAGTACCAGCTCCTCCTCCTTCTTCTTTGGTCCCTCTATGCAGTGGGTTTCAGGCATTTCTCTACCTCCCGTCGCCACCTCTCCCCGTCGGATTTGTCAATCCCTTTAAGGGCAACGGCAGCTACTTCGTCGACGACCTCGACGAGTCCCCCCTCCCTTGCCTCCTCTCCTCTTTCGACCTCTGCCGCGCGATCAAGACCCAGCTCGTCCATTTTGGACCGCATCAAAGCTCAGGCTGGTACTCCTGAGGTCTTAGCTCTCTTGAAAGAGGCGGTAGCCGCAACAGGCACAGGAGAGGTGAAGCGGGAATTCTTCAAGGTAATTATTGCCCCACCTGACCTTGTCTCTCTTTCGTACTCTGAACCAGCAAGCGCACCCTTCATTGGGAGTGACGAGTTTACTGGCATTGGGAAGAGGGAGTAGGGATGGACGATAATGTATGGGAAAGGGGGCCTGTCCACCAAGGCCGGGAACGAACGTCAACGCCCATCAACCTCCATGACTCAACGCGTACGCCGAGGCCCACGCCACGAATCGCTGAGACTTCTGACCCGGTGTCATGCCTCCCTCTCCCCATCCCTGGCGCTTCCATTTTCCCTCCTTGCCCGCCTGGGTGCACAGGCGATATTCCCCTTCCCCCTGGACGACTTCCAGCTCGCGGCATTGGATGCCTTGGGGGGGCGAGAGAACGTGGTGGTATCGGCGCCCACGGGGTCAGGTAAGCAAAAGAGGGTAAAGAGGGACACACGCCGTATCGCTGAGGGTCTC